ACATGTTATGTGCAATTACACCATGGCAACATCTAATGTTTGTGTAGTATTATGTTCAGCAGACTGTGTTCTTCTACTGTTGTGACTTAGATTGATGTTCAGAGCACATTTTATGCCCAATTCATGCAAAACTCCACATAATCCCAAGGGGTTCACATACTTTTTCTTGCAACTGTATATAGCGTCAACAGTTTACGCAGAATTTCACAACATAAGGGCAGACAGTACAATTACAGTACAGTACAATTTCCTTAACAGGGCACAGAATGCAACAACAACCTAACAGGGGTTCTAATCCCTCTCCACACTATCCAAAACTAGAAAAAAAAATTGCCTTTGGTTATACTTAAGGTTCTACACTAGTTGTGAATGACAGCTGTACAGTTTCTTTAATGTTAACCTTTTTTACAGATGCATACATTTGGCAATATGTAGAGATATTTATAAAAGCCCTACTCCGGACCAAGCTCTTGGCAAAAAACAAATGTGCTATGTTAATATTACTATATCAGTAAGCTTTATATTTTATCTCTTACAAAGAAGATTAATTAACAAGTAAAAATATGTCCTATCTGCTTAAAGCTTTGTCCCAGTGAGAATACAATCTCCCTTGAAAATAATGGGGATCAGTATAAAAGATTGCACTAGAACTTCTGTATAAACATTCCCAACCTTCAACCTATTCCTGGCTACATTACTGTAATGTAGCTAAATTGCTCTTATTGATCATCTTCTCTCCACCAGTTAATCAGTACAAGCAGCTGATCATTATGTCCCACTAGTGATGTCAGTTTTACTGGGCACATCTGTTTGTTGATTGAAAAGCCACAGCCTGTGGCATCCAGCCATTAGGCATGGTGTCCATTACTGAGCAGTCAATCAGCTGTTGTGCGTAACCTGATCAGCTGACTTCCTTTTCTAAACTTGACTGCTCTTTTGGACTGTGGCTTGGTTTTCTAATAGCTGACCCATAACTTGTCATGCTACCTGGGGCTCGCTGTCGCCAGCTTCATGAAAACTTTTCTGCTTGCTGACATAAACTGCACTTGATGCACTGCTGATATGTGGCCTCTAGACCCCTGATCCTATACTTTGCCTGTTCATAGACTTATTGCTGAGTTCAGTTCTGCTCTCCTAACATCATCTCCTTCTGATGGCCTATTGTTTGTGCACTTGACAGTTGGACATTGTGTGAAAATGTATTATTTCATACAGAAAATAAAGGATCCAGTTTATGTCTTTGCAGTGATATGTATCAAACTTAAAATGCAAAAATATAAAAGCCTGAATGCTAGGTGCAATCGTAGACTCTGGACTCTTCTTTCAGCCCCACATCCAATCACTGCCCAAACCTTGCTGCCTCAACCTCCAGAACATTTCCAAAATACGACACCACAAAGCTAGTAATTCATTCCTTGATTATCTCCCGCTTCAACTATTACAACTCCCTCCTCCATCACCCCTTCAGTCCATCATGAATGCTGCTGCCAGACGTATCCACCTTAAAAACCATTCAGTGTCCACAACCCCACTCTGCCAATCCCTCCATTGGCTTCCTGTTAGAGATTCTGTATACAGAACAGCCAATGTATAGTCTATGTGTGTTTATCTGCTGCTTCTCTGCTAACGGGAAACAGGAAGTTTATTATAGAGAAAAGACATAGAGTTTAATTATTGATGCAGCTATAAACTTATAAACACTGCCATCTACTGGTTGAAGAATATATCTTTACTGAACACTGAAGTAGTTCTTGGAAAATACATGAACACTGTATTCCAACATTTCCACTCACCCAACAAATAAAATACAAAATTCTAACAACAACCTGCAAAGCCATTCACAACTACACCATCAACCTCATCTCAATATTTATTTATTTATTACAGGTACTTGTATAGTGCTGTCAATTTATGCAGCACTTTACATACATATTGTACATTCACTTCATTCCCTAACCCAATACGCCAACCAAACCATTCTCTTTGCTCCTCCCAAGACCTTCTGCTTTCTGCATCCCTTGTCATCACCTCCCCATGCATGCCTCCAGGACATCTCCAGAGCCTCTTCCTTTCTCTGTAACTCCTTACCCCTATTTGTCTGACTATGCCTTACTCTATTCACAATTAGGCGATCCTTGAAAACCCATCACTCCGGCCTCTAACTAATAAACTGTACTTTTACTTTTTCCATGGGCTCATCCCTCACAATTATTATACTTTATATCACTTGACCCTTCCTTTTAGATTGTAAGCTCTGACGAGCAGCGCACTCTGATCCCTCTTGTATTGAATTGTATTGTAACTGTACTGTCTGCTGCCGCACAAACTGTTAGCGCTATATAAATCCTGAATAATAATAATATTAAATCTACAGTATTTATGTCTTTATCTGTACATTGGGTACTCACCTCAAATTATATATATATTTATTGTATATACTGTATATATATATATATATATATATATATGGGTTAAAGCATGTGATTTCTGTGTTTTTGCAATCTTTCAGCCAGCTTTATATACGCATGATTTAATTCTATTAGATAGACATTCTCAATGTATAATTTCTGGCCCCCTTAAGAATGTACATATTAATAGTACATGATACTTAGATGGACGGAGGGGATTTTCTTTGTACATATTATTGTCCCTTTAAATTGATGTACATATTAAAGCAGCATATTCCTGCCTAGAAGCATATTTTCTGTGCTCTGAATAATGCACTCAATAACATGATGCAGGGGCTTAAGCAGCAGCATTAAACAGCAGAGAACATTAAGCTGAACTGACACTGTTTGTGTTGTTATAACATCACTTCTCCATTTGTGGCTTAATAATTAGGACTGTAGCATACATAATACTTAAGCTCTTGCAAGCAGTGGCCTAATTTCTCCTCTGTGTTTCACAGTTTAATATCTGAAGTGTTTGCCTTCAGTAAAATAGCATTTTGCAAAATGTATGTATTTAGCTATCATTTAAGAATGAAATGGCAAATGTGGTTTTCCAGCTGGAATCAGAGACATTATTCAAGAAACCAGTGGTTATTTCTGACCCAAAAATTTAGGAAAGGTGTTTTGGTCTTTATATCTCTTTTACTAGACAAATGAGCATGCTTTAAAATACTGAGTGACGGCCCAGCGACCTCCATAACATACCTTAGAGAAAGTATAAAGTCAACTCTGCTTACATGACCAAAATAAATATTTCCCCAAGTTTAGCAACCTTTAATCAATGGCAGTATCGAAAATCATCTTTATTTTACAGGTTACATTATCTGGAAGCAGTAAAAACATAACCCCACTTCCTGTCTACATGCCCACACTCAGGGTGTGTAATAGGGTGACAACACAGGAGCACAACTGAGAGGCAGTTATCACCCTAAAATAGAGAATTACCTAAATAAAGACCTTCATAACAGAATCATTCAGTATTTTGTTGATGATAGCTGCAGATTTGAAAAGACCGAAGACAGTTTTTTAGATGACCATACCATTTAAAATTTATATGAGATTTTATTGATTGGTGTTGGACCTTTTTTATATTACCTAACAGATTCTTGTGTCTCTTGGGAGATCTGTGGGAGAAATCTTTTCTATTAAAGTCACATGTCTGCAATTTTAATATATTATGGGTTATGACTAAGGCTTTTTTCAACCTATTGTATTTTTGATGTAATTTTTTGTGGTCGTTTCAATAAAGAGGAAGATTTTAGAGCAGTGTGCGGTTATGCTGACCTATTTTCCTATTCCTGAAACTTTAATATACAGATATGGAATTCCATTACATTCTAGGAGGCAATCTCTACCCAACGTAGGCTCCATTCACATAAGGTAATTTGAAATTGTGGGCAGGATCACTGAAACTCTGACCATTATTTCAAGCAAAGCCCAACTCACAATGCTTGCTTGGGTGCCATTATTTGTAATGGCACTCCAAATACGAGGGGCGTTCAAGTCAAACTGGGACTTTTGAGTTTATGTAATAAAAGAACATATTTCAAGGAGTGGAGACTGCTTTTATTTTTGTACATACTCCCCTGCTACATTTATACACTTATCCCAGCATTTAACTAATGCCTAGAAAGCTTCAGCATAGAAAGATTTGTCAGTATGCCTGAACCATCCTAGGACAGCCTGCTTCACTTCATCATCATTGTGTTCTCCGTTATGTGTCGAGTATCCAGGATCAGGCGTTCCACACGCTGTATGTTCACAGGAATGACTACCATGGGCTGGGAACCACCATGGCCGGGATCGTCACTGATGTATGTATCGCCATCTCTGAAACGTTTACACAATTCAAATGTTTTACTGCGGCGGAGCGCCTCATCACTGTACTGTGCTTGAAGTCTTCTGTAGATATCTACAGTTAAAAATGATGCTAAGTCTCCTTATGTTTAAAGATCAGGAGCTTCTTCTGGGTGACAAACACGCATAGGACAGCCCATTGAAGTGAATGGTCTGCTTTATGAGGAACACGAGCTTTTGTATTTAAATTGTGCTCTAAAAATCATGTTCACTTGTTTCTGTTAAGAGAGATCTGAACAGGGTCTCATGGGTTTCTGCGCAGTTCAGAAACATGCTGCAAATGTGCATTGCACTTGCATAGCCATTAAAGGTTGCTCATGTGACTAAAGCAGTGTAAGGACACGAAAAATGCAGTAAAAAAACAATGCACCACGCTCCACTCCAAAACAAGTACAGGAGCTTCTTTAGGGCATTTAATACGGGTAGGGCAGTCCATTCAAGTGAACAATCCAAAATAGTAGCGGGACAGGAAATCATATGACACACAGCTTTGCACTATCCTAAAATGAGTGCACAAAAAAACACAAGTCAGAAACTGTAACAAACACCATCATTGCCAGCATTTGCTAGAATAGTAGCACACTAGGAAAGCACAAGGAAAGACAGTTTAGAGCAGGGGTCTTGAAATTTATAAACAAATTTTAGAGGGGCCGGACTGTGGCCTTTGGGAGAAAAAAAATGTCCTGGCATCAGCGGGAGTAAACAATGCCACACCATTGGTATTAGGGGGAGTAATAGCACCCCTTCATTGGTATCAATGGAAGGAATCAGTGTCCCATCATTGGTGTCAGTGGGAGGGATAGTGTCCCATTGTTGGTGTCAGTGGGAGGAATAGTGCCCCATCATTGAGGTCAGTAGGAGCAATAGTGCCCCATCATTGGTATCAATGAGAGGAATAGTGCCCCAATGTTGGTGTCAGTGGGAGGAATAGTGTCCCATGATTGGTGTCAATGGGAGGAATAGTGACTCCATCATTGGTGTCAGTGGGAGAAATAGTGTCCCATCATTGGTGTCAGTGGGAGGAATAGTGACCCACCATTGGTGACAGTGAGAGGAATAGTGTCCCATCATTGGTGTCCATGGGAGGTATAGTGTCCCATCATTGGTATCAGTGGGAGGAATAGTGTCCCAATGTATTTTAGTAGTAAAAACATGCTTTAATGTTTGGGTGGGGCACCCCCCCATCCATACCAAGCCCTTCAAGTCTGGTATGGATTTTGAGGGGAACCCCCATACCAAAATTAAAAAAAAAAAAGTCATGGGGGGACCCCCCCAAATCCATACTAGGCCCTTATCCGAGCATGCAGCCCAGCAGTTCAGGAAAGGGGGGGATGAGCGAGTGCCCCCCTCCCTCCTGAACCATACCAGGCCACATGCCTTCAACATGGGGGGGTGCTTTGGGACAGGGGGCTCCCCCCCAAGCACCTTGTCCCTATGTTGATGGGGACAAGGACCTCTTCTCCACAACTTTGGCCGGTGGTTGTGGGGGTCTGCGGGCCGAACCTTATTAGAAACTGGAAGCTCCCTTTATCAAGCCCCTGGAAGCCCCCCAGATCCCAGCCCAACCAATGTAAATGAGTATAGGGTACATGGTATGACTACTCATTCACAACAAAAAAAAGTGAAATGTAAAAAATTACAGTAGACACTCTTTGACAAGTCCTTTATTAGAATTAAAAAAAAAGTCCCCCAAAGTAGATCCAACGTCAATCACGATGCTCACCACCACCACTGTGGTCAGAGCACAGTGCATTGTGGGGTGCAGCCGGGGAACAGACTGACATTCGACTCCAACATCAAGCCCAACACTGATTATGAGTTTGAGTTTTATGATACTGAGTAATAAAATGAGTAATGAATAATTACTATATGTAAAATAATTAAAGCAAGCAATACAGGTAACAGTATTAAGCGACTCTGTAGTCAGTTACATGCAGTCTGTTCATTTTTATTTGTAGAGTTTATTTCTCTTTTTGTGCACATTTACTAACTGCACTGTGATGAAGACACTAAAAGTATTTTCTATTTCTACCAAGACCATTGTTAACTCTTTTTCATCCACAAATTAAACTGATACTATCGCATTACATTACAATTGTAAATTCAGCCAGTCATAAAGAGGAAACATGCATTTATTTCATTATCCTTCCAGAATATTTTAATTCCACACCCAAGCCCCAAAAATGGTAAACCCCCAGGGCTTCAACACGTATTATAATAAAATTATTGCTGTTTAGCACCTTTTTGTAGCATCCTCACTTTTGGGATCATTTTTGTTTGTTGACACTTTCAGCCGTCATTTTATATCATATTCAGTAACGAATCAGCCTTGTGCTCTTATAGTAGCAGAGATTACGTTCCCACTGATAAATGGTTGTGGGTTTCTAACCACAAGATCCGGCCTCCTCTGTCTCTCCAAAGAGCAACTGCTAGGGAGCAGATCTGATTCCCATTATGGAAAATAAGTTGACATTTAGCTCAGTCCCAGTGGCTGATAAACCTTCAAACAGAAAGCTTTTTGATGCTCTCCCTCCACTGATCCCACTACAAAGCACTGAGCTCTGTACGCAATCACATGACATGTTTGCTGTGTCTGTGTGAATTTTTTTAGGTCAGACTGTACAGCTGTGTTGCAACTCACCATCTTCAGCCTTTTTTTTTTTTTTTGCTCATCTCTGCACATTGTAATGTTGCAGGCTCATTTTTCAGCGGGGGCAAAGGGTGGGAGATGGTGCCTTGGAGTTGGGTTCTTCACTCTCACTTGTTTTCTCCTTTTTTTTCTCTTTAAAGCACAGAAAAAACATCAAAGCCTTGCTAAGCCTCCAGGTTTTCTGCACATGTACTGCTCAGGAATGATTGATGGATGCAGCTGCAGGAGGGGACGTTCTGGTACTGCAGCGTCTGCCAAAAATCATGTGGATACCTTCTTGCTTGTGTCTAGTTTTTAGGAAAGGGAAGCAAGCAGCATTATTTGTGATTTTAATAAAATTTGTGTTCCTCAGTATCAATGTAGCTTGGGACTTTAAGTCCAGGTTGTGTTACGTGCTTGGTGATCCCTTTTTTATTCAACCCTGTGCATAAGGAGTTAAGATAGACATCACTCTGTGGAAGTTATTTGTTGCTTAGGAGAAATATGGCAACAATAAGACCAAAAACTCAATGGACATTTGTGTTTTTTAACCTATGAAACAAAGAAATGTTTTAAAAAAGTTAGTATTTTACATACAGTATGTAGATGTTATATCTTTGTACAAAACTTGGTATAAATTGTGTGTGCGTATGTATATGTATATAGTGACAATTGGCCACGAAGTGCAATCCTGAAAAGGATTTATCTTCTGACCTGAGGGACTCCACATTGGGTTTGTAGCACCTGAATGAGGAAAGAACAAACAGAGGGCGCACAGGCCTAGTGCATTACCATAAAAAAAATGTTTAATAAGAAATAAAGTAGGTGTTGTACTCACAAACGACAATAAAGTCAAGGCACATCATAAAAGAACAGCTTAGTCTACACCCCGATGAGTAACAGTCCGCAATAGGGAATGTAGACATCCAATAGGCTGACACGTTTCGAGGACTTGCCTCTTCCTCAGAGGTTTGTAGTACTTGTCTGAGAGTCCATAGGAGCTCTAGAGATGGAGTCTCTCAGTGTTGTTGGAGCCAAAAATGGGAGACCTTGTAAGACCTGACTGTGCTGCTGAAGGCAACTCACTTTCGAGAAATCTTATATACTGGAAATCGTATACTTGCCTTGATGTTCCCCTAGGGACGTCTGTTGTTGCTGGAGGAATCTTTTGTTGCTGGAGGAGGATAAATTGCTGCTGGCTGTGGGTGATCTTTTTTACTGAATTTCTTGTTGTCATGAACAAATTCCATACCAATTACTTAGCACCACAAAATGATACTTGGCTCTGTATTCTCTAAAAGGCATTGTACTGGGAGTTGGGTAGGGGGTTGAACCAAGGGACGGTGCTTGGAGGCGGGTAGGGGGAGGAGACAAGAAGTGACTCAGAACGGGGGGAGTTCCTGCACTTGTTTTCTGAGAAAAAAAGCTCTGAGGGATCTTTGTTCTGTACCTCTTCTCCGAGAACAACCTTGGCCCCTCTGACACACCTGGTTGACTAAAAATTGCTGCAAGCATATGTGAATGAGCACATCAGCAATAAACAATGTAAACTTTAAATGCAGTATAAATAGTAATAATACTTCACTGGTTTAGAGTGCACTCTAAAGAATGGGTGGGGTATGGTACCTCTTTAACTAGCAAAACGGGCAAAGGCCTTGGGGCAGCGATGGTTAACGGTCGTCTTCTAGTCTTGACTCTTCAGCCGGCTAAATGTTGGAGCGCATTAAGGCACTCAAAAAGGCCTTCAGGCGTAATCAGGCTGTGGGGTAACTGGTAGGCAGTTCCTAATGGCTCACTCACAGTGGTAACAAATAGTGGCCACAAGGCCCTCTCACCAGACCCAGTGACATCCAACTTCTTTTGCAATTACTTTTGAAGCTTTCCCTCCTTATGGAGGGTGTCAATGATGGTTTTCTGCACAACTGTCAGGTCAGCAGTCTTTCCCATGATTGTGATTCCTACTGAACCAGACTGAGAGACCAGTTAAAGGCTCAGGAACCCTTTGCAGGTGTTATGGCTTAATCACCTGATTAGATTGGGACACTTTGAGCCTAGAATATTGCACCTTTTCACAATAATCTAATTTTCTGTGATTGTGGATTTGGGGTTTTCATGAGCTGTAAGCCATAATCATCACACTTATAACAAATCACAGCTTGAACTATCTTGCTTTGCATGTAATGAGTCTATCTCATATATTAGTTTCACCTTTTAAGTTGCATTACTGAAATAAATGAACTTTTGCACGATATTCTAATTTTTCGAGTTTCACCTGTATATATATAGTATACATTAGTTTCAGTATGAGCCCGTCCACTTGCCCCAAAGAGCGCTATAGGGCTTGCTCCCCATGTTTACTTCATACAGCAAAAAAAAACTAAATCTTTCAGCTTTTTGGCCCTGGCAAGTTTGCCACCCCTTTCAGGTTCCACATGTTACTGGAACAGGGCCTGTCAGTTAAGGCTAGCAGACCTGGGTACACACATCTTCAATATATCACACCTATGGACTTCTCCATTCTGTGACACTGCATAAACAAGAGGGGCTGACACTGCAGCCCTATCCTAGGTACAGGTGGATACCCACCCACAGGATGTCTTCTTCAAGTGCTTCTCAAGCAGAACTGGTTCCTGACATAAGCTCTGACTGCAGTCTCTCTACTTTGTGCAGCAAAACCAACTGTTCTTATATAGAATTCTCTCCTGAGCTACCCATTCTGGAGACTCTGGTATTCTTTTACTGCCAAAAGCAGCATTTAACCTGTCGCTTACCACATTTTCAACCTGAAAGACACTGTTTTAGATATTTTTGGGAACTAATCCTGCTATAGTCAAATAAAATTGGCTGTACATGGCAATACAGTACTCCCAGTACAATTGCCTCCTTCACAATCGTATAATTAGTTAAACTGCTAGAGCATCCCTTTTAGTGCTCAGAGCTTAAAGCATATGTAAAAGAACAACAATGGCAGCTGCTCTGATCTATTTGAAACTATCAGCAAAGAGCAAAGTTGCAAATGAAAAGGCAATATAGAAAACACATCAAAAGGCACACTTTTAACCTAGCCAGCAAACCCCCCCCCCCCCAAAAAAAAAAAAAAATTAATACATTAATTGACTGTTTCAACTAATTAAGTTAAAACAAAGGTTTTTCTTGCATACATTTGCAAATTCATGTGTAAGCCACACTACCACTTAGCTGAAAAGTTCATCTTTAGTAACATGTTCCATGTTACACCCATATTTAGGGTGTAACATGTTACTGTTAAACACCCCCCTTCACCTCCCTCACCCCCAGCCCAGTGACAGTGGGCAGGGATCTTCTCTTTGCACCCACTGTCAAACTTTAACGAGTTTCTGCCTGCACAGCTGCATGATTATTCCAAAGGAATCTGTGAAT